CACCTCCACCAATACAGAGCATCACTTGCCCCAGACTGAGAGTTCTTATCTATACCTTGTGGCTAATAGCCACTGATGGACCTCTGCTCCATATGTCTATCCAATTCCCTTTTGAAGCCATCCATGCTTGTAGCCGCCTCCACCTCCTGTGGCAGTGAATTCCATGTGTTAATCACTCTTTGGGTGAAGTACTTCCTTTTATCCATTCTAACTCAGCAATTTCATTGAGTGCCCAAGAGTTCTTGTATTGTGTCACAATTGCGCTGGCGGGCCAGGCAGGGCACGGAAAGTCCAAAACACAGTCCGAGGTCAGGGTACCATATAAGACAGAGTAATGTGAGCAGAGTCCAAAATACCAAGTCAAAACGCAGTCTAGGGTTACCAGAGATTGCATGCAGAGTTCAGAAGCCGAAAGCTGTTCATCAAAAGTCAGGATACACAGTCTGTAGTCAGGGAGCCAGAGAAACGACGTCACGCAAGGCAAAGTCAGGAGCCAGGAAGTCAGGATGAAGTCCGATGGAAGAGGGGATGGATGCGAAGGTGGTCTGGGAGCTGAAGACCAAACGACACGGGGTTGATCTGATCTGTAATCTTATTTGGGCCAATAAAACTAGCAGCCAGTTTATGGGAGCGGCCAGGCCGCCTCAGGTATCGAGTGAATAGCCACACTAGGTTTCCAACGCGTAACAGGAAGCCTTCTTGCTGTTTTCGGTCTGCAGCTTCTTTGTAAGCCTTTTTGGCATGTTGGAGCTGTTCCTTAAGCAGAGCCTGAAGGGCCTGCAATTCCTGCAGTCGGGTGTCTGCTGCTGAAACATTCATGGGAGGACCAAGCCGTTCGTCAAAAGTCAGGATACACAGTCTGTAGTCAGGGAGCTGGAGAAACAACGTCTGGTGATTCAAGGGGTGCAGGGAGCTCACCCTCGGACGCTGAGGGTGCAGAATCCCCGGGGTCAGGGTTCCTGGGGTCGGGATACACTGCAGGCATGACATATTGTGTGAAAGAAAAGTACTTTCTCTACTTGCTCTATCCCATGCATAATTTTGTAAACCTCTGTCATGTCACCCCTCAGTCATCATTTCTCCAAGGTAAGGAGCCCCAAGCACTTTAACCTTTCTTCATAGGGAAAGTGTTTCAACCCTTTTGTCATCCTAGTGACCCTTTTCTACACTTTTTCCAATGCTTTATTTACTGTGTTTTCCCCATAATTGAATCCAAACAAATGGTGAGCATGTAAACTGAACGTATTATTCCTGACCCTTTCCTTGCAGTATGTGGGGTATCCCAGAGAGAAGTTTGTGATGAATGATTCACACAGTGATTGGGAGAGCGGGGTGCTGGTATTCATGATATTTGCTGTCTTGGGGACCCTATTTGGGTGGAAAGACAGCACAGAAACATTTTATATAATCTACTTAAAAACTGACTGTGTAAGGGTTCATATCAGCACAAAAAACCTTTGGCATTCAGGTATCAGAATGCAGCCACAAATTCATTTCTTGGCAGTAATAATGATTCACTGGTGTTTATGTGACTCTGAAGCAGCCTTTGCCTCAGTATTAACCAGTTGCCCATCCCAACACACATACTTCCTGTGAACAAAATTAGTGCACAGCACAGTAAAAATTATTTGAGCATAAACACAGCAATATTCTTTATTGATTAACAGAACAAGACCAGTGTAAAGGTGCTTTTAAGAACCTCAATAACCTTCCAAAGCAATATTCCCTTAGCCTTGCAGTTGGCCGTAATCATAGCCATGCTGAATTCTTTAGCTACTGTCCATAATTCAAAAAGGGAAGGGCAGCACAGCCAATCAAAACAAGCAGTCTTAACGTGTGAAAGCAGCTAACTAATCGAAAGCACAGACAGGTAGGCAATGTACAGTTCACCAGTGGGCTTTCAGGGTGGTAACTGCATAGGCCTACATTGGTCCAGCACAACAGTGCAAGTGCAACCTCCCCATGCCGAAAACTGAACAGTTTGTATTTATTTATTTATCATGTGGCATGAAAAATAAAAGTAAGACATACACACACAGAGGGAAGTTCAACATTAAAAAAAATAGTGTGGAAGAATTGCCCTGATTGAACTATGATCTAAGGCATTCTGAAGGTGAGGAACAACCAGATCAGGGCTGCAGTCTGGAAGATGCCTAACACTCCATTTTAATTGCATACAAGGCGCAATCACATGCACAATTAGCCACGGATTTAAAGGACACAATCAGACACAAACATCTGGGAAGTGCCCCACACCCATCGGCAACCCGTTTTGCTCCGCCACAGAAGAAAAAAGACACCAGGGAAAGTCCGGTAGCAAATGGATTGCTACAGGCCATGGACAGACTTTCCCCTGTCTGATTGCTGCAGTTCGTTCTCATGGCATCAGGATGATCTGATCAGGCCATCCTGACTCCATGCCATTGTTCCCCCCCTTCTCAGTATGCGCATCATCGCACACTCCATAGGGAGTCCTCAGTGCTGAGATTTGATTAATTGATTCCTCGTTTAAGCACATTGGGAACAAATGGCAAAAAACCCCAAGAGCTTCAATCCCGAAGACAATAGGGACTAGGCTCCTGAACTTCCAGTAAGGAGCCAATAGGGACATTGGTGGGAAGTTTAAACCCGCTAATAGAACCTAGGGGGCGTCCCTCCCCAATTGAATAAAGTTGGCCACCCAGCCGTTAGTTTTTGTTCCATGTGTTAAGTACTAATAAACACGTCTTCTCCGATGTTGTGGTCCGAGTCCTGATGTATTGAACCCAGTACTTTTCAGGTGGGCTGTCCCCACGGCTTCAAAGAACTGTGTGATCGTGCAAACGCGGATCAAATTCCTCTGAGGGAAGTAGGAATTCCCCCCCCCCCCCCCCCCCCCGGCATTAAATTGCGTGTGTGACCGCCACCCTAAAGTGAGAAGTTTTATTTATTTGACAGTGAAGCATCTCTTTGTTGAGGGCTATAAACTCTTAGGATTCATTTCAAATATATATGTGGGGAAGTGTATTATATGTTTTGTTGCATCATACTTTTATGTAAATATACGCTCTAAATATCTAAACTCTGTATTGGCCAACATGATGGGTTTTTCAGATTCCCACAAAGTTTACAAACTTTTGAATGATTCCTGTGTTGAAGTAACTGAGAAGGTGGCTAAGTTCCTTCAATCCACCATGCTTCTGTGCCAAGAAAAGAATACAGTTGTAACCTATGATTTTATGATGAAAGTGAATGGAATTTTAAAATGAAAAGTAAGGTTTTAAAAAGTTTTTGCATACCCTGCCCTAAATGACATTGTATATTAGCAAATGCATTATTTTATGCTATTACTGGATTTGCCCTTCCCAATGTTTGGTGGACCATTAAGATTTTAACAGTGGATTTAGCATCTTTGTGAAAGGCTCTGGTCCCAGAAAAGTGAAAGTCAGAGGGAACTGAAGATGCCCAAGGCATTTAACTTAAAGAGCTATTATTACTCTTTAAGTACAAGCTAAAAGTTGGCACAAGCATCATGAACTATTGATGAAAACCGAAATAAATCAGTCAAAGCCAATACCGCAGGGAATGACAAAGTAAAAAAAAGGCTAAGAAAAAAATCCCAAATATTTTAAACCATTTGTTACTTTACAAAATGGAAGGAATTATTAATTGGAGCCGGCATTCCATTGAGATGCATTTGTGATATTAATACAGCACAGAAGCTTATTAATGCCACTAGAAAATCCCTCAATAGAATTACTGCCATATACAATTAGAGCGAAAGTAATCTATATGTTACCATTTTCATTAGCAGAAGTGACATGTAGCTTGTTTATTTCTAAGGAATGAACTGCTTCTTCCTTTAAGTAGACTCCCATTTTTCTATAGCCAGAGCAAGAAATTATTTTGTTCTCTGTTTATCTTTCCATTAGACCAGAAAAATACCATTTAATAGGTTTTTACAATAAGGCTGGAAAGCTTAGAACCAGCGTAGACATTGTACCATACCAGCAATACTTGCAGAACAGAGAGTTTGCAATGAATCAGACAAATGTTTCTAGTCACTAGAGGCAAAGGCACAATCTTTCAGGGTCATTAGACAATTTGAACACCATGAAAATTCCTGCAAGCTAGAAACTGTCAATTCCTGACAGTCCTGCAAGATAGAACCGAGCCTAAGGTCTGCACTGTATCTATTAGTTGCTTTCATAAACTGTTGTTTTTTAAATGAATTCTATTTTGTCAAATATTTATAATTTTTATAAAATATAAATATTTTTTATTTTTAAAAAACAAGAAAAAATATACATTTCCTGCAGAATCCACAGCAAATTTGAAAAAATGCCATTGCAAACAGTTAAGAATACTATTACAAGACTAACATAAGGTAGATTGCATAAAAAACTTAACATAGGCCACACTGCAAAGTTACCGCGGGAGAGGCACAGAAGGTGGGCGGATTATCCGGGCACAATCACACCCCAACATCTGGGAAGTGGAGCACACCCGTGGCTTACCGCCAACAATGCACATTTAAAAACTAGTACCTCCAAGGTACTAGTAAACGTTTGCCACGGGCTGCCTCCAGACGCCCGTGGTGTGATCGAGCCGGCGCGCAGCATTCCCCTCCGGTCCCTCGTTTACCCACTGGCACCGAGGGAAGGACCCATGCTGTGCCGCCAGCGTGTCTGATCGCATAATCGTGGATCAAACTGCGCCAGGGCAATTAGCCACGCCTCCCCCCACGATATTCGGCCCATGTGCCCGGGGCCATAGAAGACAGTGCGAAACTAATACTGGAGCCAACAAATCTATATGTAACTAATACTTTAAAATGCCTGCAATAGAGCTAATCCATAACTAAAGATTAACATAACAACAGTGGATATAATGTAACAGTAAAAAGCCACATAGAAGAACAAGCCACATGAACTGAGTTCATCTACAGTAGAGGAACTACTAGAGAAGGAAGATATGAGAAAAGGTCGGTATGTGAGAAATAGGTAATTACTGGAAATCAGGTTGAGACAAAAGTGGTGGTATAGGAATCATCATCTGGCTTTGAATATTTCTCAGAAATTTTGTCTAGAATGCAATACTCTGACTTTTTCTAGACATTCTGGAATAGTTGGTGACATTGCATTTTTCCATTTGCAGGCAATTACAGCTTTCACTGCTGCACAGAGCTTAGTTATTAATAATTTGTGATGGCATGGATTTTTACAACCAATCCATGAGTCTAGTAATAGAGAGTCAGCTCTGAAAAGGATGGTTTCCTTAGTTATCTTGCAGATAAAGTTGCAGACTTGCCACCAAAACCCCCATAAGAGGGGACAGTCCCACCAACAATGGCTATAACAGCCCCACAGGCTTTCCAACATAGTGAGGAGTTCTGAGGAGAGATCTTATTAAGTTTTAAAGGAGAATAGTACCACCTTGCAATTATCTTAAATGACATAGCTTTAATGGACAAGTTTGCGAAGCAAAGGCTGGGAAAGTGCCAAATGGATTCCCAGCTATCTGTACATAAGGGTATGATATTTTCTTTTTTCCATTTGTCTACATATTTGGGTGATGACGTTGACAATATGGATATTAGAATGCTGTGAATTTTGGATATAATGCCCTTAGGAAGGTCAGTTAGATTAGAGGCTATTTGTTCAAACTCTGTAAGCTTTCTATTTAAGTGCTGCAACTGAAGGTATTCAAACCAGGGCCTCTTATTTTTATATATGTCCATTAGTCTTACCACTTTATTAATTCTCCATTTTAGAAAGGCATTTGGATGTTCGGCTCAGGGGAACCAGGCTTGTCCTGTGAATGGTATAATTGGAGATGTGTCTGGAGCTAATTTTGCCCTTAACTTGTCCCATTGCTTGAGCAAGCTTAATAAAAACTCATTATCCCATATTGAGCTTAGTCTGCTCTTTGGCGTATTCCATATCACTTCTCTCAAGCGGTAAGGTTTAGAATATTCCTCCTCTATTACTACACAATCAGGGTCTTCTTCTTTTTTTTGGTAAACAAACTTTTTATTTTTTTTTCAATAGGAACTTAACATCCAACAATATTCATTTTCATTTTCCCTTTGTTTACCCCGTTCCCCTTACCTCCCCTTCCTCCTGTGGCTTCCCGCAATGCTTCCACCCTTCCACCCACATTATAATACGTCATCAGTTAAATCATTTTTCTTATCACTACTGTCTCCAGATAACATCAATTAACCTAATATTGTTCTAAACATATTAAATTTTGTTTTACATCCCAGTTCTTTTCCAGATATTTTTTAAAGTCACTCCATTCTTCTAAAAATATGTCGTCTTCCTTATTACTCAGTTTTTTTGTAATTTTATCCATTTCAGCCATGAACAGAACTTTTTGTATCCAGTCTTCGATCTCTGGTACTTTTTCATTTTTCCAAAATTGTGCATAAATCATTCTTGCTGTTGTTATTAAGTACCAGAGTAAAGTTTTTTTCGTCGTGTTGACTTCTTCCATTTTAAGTCCCAAAAGCAGAATTTCAGGCGCTTTTTTAAAAGAGCATTTCAGTATCTTTTGCATTTCACTGTGGACCTTTGTCCAATAGTCCACCGCTTTTTCACATGTCCACCACATGTGGTAAAATGAGCCTTCATGTTTTTTACACTTCCAACATTTGTTTGACATATTCTGGTTCATATTTGCAATTTTCTTTGGGGTCATGTACCACCTATACATCATTTTATAACAGTTTTCTTTAACATTGGTACAGCCCGATATTTTAATAGAGTTTTTCCACAAATATTCCCAGGTTTCAATATCAATTTCTTTATTCATATTAATTTGCAATTTTCTTTGGGGTCATGTACCACCTATACATCATTTTATAACAGTTTTCTTTAACATTGGTACAGCCCGATAATTTAATAGAGTTTTTCCAC